ATGCTGTGCTGTGCCATGCTGTGCTCTTTCTGACTGTGCTGTGCCATGCAATGCTGCATGGTGCCACGCAATGTTCCACTGTGCCGTGCTGAACTACACCTTGCCATGCAATGCTGCAGCGTGCCGTGCCACGCTGTGCCACACACCACTGCACTGTGCTATGCCACACTGCCATGTCAAGCTGTGCTGTGCCAAGCAAAACAATACTGCACCGYGCCRTGCTGCACCGTGCCATGCTGCGCAATGCTGCACTGTGCCTGACTGCACTGTGCCATGCCACGTTGTGCCATGCCATGCAATGCTGCATGCCATGCCATGCAATGCTGCACCATGCCAAGCTGTGCTGTGTGAATCTGTGCTGTGTCATGTCATGCAATGATGCCACTGAACCGTGCTGTGCCGCGCCACGCCATGCTGTGCCGTGCTGCATCACGCGGTGCCATGCCGTGCCACGCTGCACCGTGCTGTGCTGCAGTGCCAAGTGGTGCGATGGTGCACCGTGCCACRCTGCGTTGTGCCATGCAATGCAATGCAGTGCAGTGCTCAGCACCAAGCCCTGCTGCGCCACGCACCGTGCCAAGCCAAGGGGGTCGGGGAAGCGCCGGGGCCCCGGCCCCAGCTCAGCCCGCGCCCCCCAGGAAAGCCCCCACGGTCATCGCCGTCGTGGTGGTCTGCGGCCTCTTCCTCTCCTGCTCCTGCCTCCTCCTCGTCATGCTCTACTGGCGCGGCAAGAAGATCCAGAAGAAGCGGGCGATGCGGCGCTACCTGGAGCGGGGCGAGGTGAGGGGCCCCGCACCCCAGCCCCCCTCCTTCTCGCTCCCGTCTGGGGCCCCGTCAGGCTCCAGCCTTGGGCAGCCCCCTCTCCATCTCCCTCCGTCTGCATCCCCGGCCCCTTCAGTCCTTCCCTATCCCCCTCTCCATCCCGGTCCTTCTCCATCCGTTGCTCCACGCTTGGTCATCCCCATCTCCCCATCTCCATCCTCACCCCATCAGTCTCCATCCCCTTTCTCCTCCCTGTCTCCATCCCTAGCTCTGTTCCATCCATCCCCATCCATTTCCATCCTTGTTGCTCTCCATCCATCCCCATCCATTTCCATCCTTGTTGCTCTCCATCCCTCTCTCCACCCCATCCTTCCCTATCATCTCCACCCCGCTCCGCCCCATTCCCGGCTCCGTGCCCACGCGGGTCCGTCTCCACGCGTCTCCGTGGGCAGAGCCTGGAGCCGCTGGACCCCAGCGAGAAGGCCAACAAGGTGCTCGCCCGCATCTTCAAGGAGACGGAGCTGAAGCGCCTCAAGGTGCTGGGCACCGGCGTCTTCGGCACCGTGCACAAGGTGAGGGGSGGCCGGAGACCCCCAGCCCAGCACCCGCCCGGAACCTCCCCATCCAGGGCGCAGGACAGGGAGGGGATCGTGATCCTGCCCCTGTGCTCAGCCCTGGGGAGCCCAACCGTGGAGCACGGGGGGCAGCTCTGGGCTCCCCAGGACCAGGGGGCCGCGGAGCTGCTGGAGGGGCCGGTGGGGGTGAGGAGGGCCCGGGCGAGCGGGGCCTGAGCAGCCTGGGGAGAGGAGGGTGAGGGGGGACCTGGTCAGTGCGCCCAAGCACCGAGGGGAGGACGCGGAGAAACGGGGCCAGAGCCCTCTGGGCGGTGGCCAGGGACAGGGCGAGGGGCGG